GAGTGCTACTCCCAGAGATTGGAGAATCTGTTCCAGACCTTCTGCTGTTTTCAGGGCCTTTCCATACTCATGTGGTGATCCCCACTGGTCAAGCAGGCATGCCACCCCATACCATCTACAAAATGGTTCCCACCCTGGGATCTCTCCCATCACCCTCAACTGTTTAGAAAGCCTCATCCTAGTTACATATCTCATTGTCCATTGCATTAACCATGCCACTGCAGCCACCCCCACCAAGCCTATGGGAATGGCCTACCAGGTTAACATTTCCTCAGCCCACACTCTCCCTTTACCCCACTTTACTTTGGTTTTTGGTCTCTTTCCACATATCAGGGACATCATCAACGCTCCTCCAAATCTCATTCTCAGCTTCTTCATATCGCTGGGCTATGCCAATTGTAAGTCAAATTCACTGCTGGGAGGTGCATTTGGCATTCAATTCCCTCCAACCAAGGTTCTTGTGACAGCCTGAGGAAAAAATTCTCCAAACCCCAATGTGAAGAATTTTTTAACATGTTTATTGGACTTGCTAACTGAGCTTGGGGTGCGGGTTTACTTACAGACAAGTGGGTGCCCCCCATTCACACCTGATGTCAAAAGTCCACACCCAGACATACAAAATGGCAAGGGGGCAGCCTAGTGGTTTTCCCAGCTTTTATACCCTTAGGCCCTCCCCTGCAAGTAGCAATAGTCAACTGATTGGTGGGAAGAGGGAGGGGGAGTGGCTTCTTTGCAGAGCATGGAAAGGAGGCAGGTCCATGGCTTGTCATCACAATGTCAAAGGAACATCTTCTGGGTCACACACATCGACTTTAAATCTTGAAAACATATTAATTCAAAGTAACAAGGGAAAAAGTCCACCCTTATTAAAAATCCTGTATGAAATATTCATAATATAACAAAGTGTAGAGATGGACATCAAATCAGAAGGGGTTAAAGGAAATGAGAGGAATCACATAATGAATATGTTGTAACAGAAACATAACTGCACACAGGTGGTGGTTTTCCTACGTTGTGGATTTGCTAATAGCCAATTAACTGTTTGCTTTCAATTTAAATTAATCACTATTGAGGCATGTGAACTTTGCCTGAGTAAACTGAGCAGGGAGGAAAGTTAGAGAAAGAAAAGAGAGATAAATAAAGCTTAGGTGATGTGAAAAACCAGATGGAAATATGTTAGTTTGAAAACCTTCTGAAAAAATGTACATACAGTATCTGACCATGATTACATGTATATACCTGAAGGGTATATAATAAGAAACACAGTGCCAGAGAGGAGAAATCTCTCTTTGAGTTGTTGGTCAGGGTAGTCCATGAGACTCTCCAAATAGCACAGGCTATTGCCACAACCCTTGATTGCCTCCTAGAACTTGAAGGTAAGACCTATTGCTGAATATAAGACATACTTCAGACACAGGTCATTGAGCAAAGGAGCTGGAACTGTTGAGGAAGCCTCCTCCCTGAAGACTAGCTCTCAGCATTCTAGAGGATAGTATGAAAGCTGCAAAGGGAGAAACATCACTCACCAGAGTTTTAACACATGATAGCCACAGCATTTGCAGGCACAACAAACTACACCAGTGCAGTACTGGCACTTCTATCTTGGGGTAATCTACAGCTGTCTATTTGAACTTAAAGCCCAGTCAGTGGGAAGAACTGAGATGTGTCATAAATATATCCAAATATAGATGGTTAGAGTGGTCATAGATCCTAAAGAAAACTGTCCTGTCATTCCCATAGACAAATATAATTTCTTACTATATGCTGTGTGAACCCTTATATATACAGACAAGTATATTATTTATCACCCATAAAAGAAACTTCTTTTTAGAACATATTGAGACTATTACAGAGTTAAACCTTAATAAATAAAATGTATGTCTTGGGGCCTGGAAATTTACTGGTTAACCTCAGAAATGTTGAATTAAGAAGCCACCTGGTGGTGGAATTATTTGGCTAGAGATGGAATCCTTCAAGTAATTGATGTTAGGTTATCATATCACACTCATTAGGCTGGCTTATCATAATACTAAAAATTGCCTTCATATTAACATTTTCCAAATTGTTTAGTCTATTTCTTCCCAAGTTAGAATACACATACAGAAGACATACAACGATGACTTGAAAATTTGCGATTTTTAAGTGTCTCTCCAGAGTTTTTATACCTAGTTGAATATTTTATTCTTCAAAATAGTCACCTACATGCCCATCTCAATAACTGTAAAGACCCAAGAATTAATATGATGAGGACATGTAAGTTTAAATAAAGATCCCATACCTTGAAGGGCCCTTAAGCAAGTGGCTGACAAAAGGACATAAATGCATCTAGAAATTCTACTTTGATAATTATATCTCTAGACTTTAAACACTTATTTTAAAATACACATTAATGGCAAAGCTTTGTAGTTTGAGGTACATTTGATTGGTGTTAATTTATATATAACAAAGATAATTCTAACATAAATATACGTATATCCATGCTCAGATGCCAAGGAACTCAGAAAGTAGCCGACTGTGACTAGTAATAATCAGATATATAGAGATTAGAAACGCATGTGCATCTTAGTGTCGATTGTATTAAAAATGAATTTTTCTGTAAAAAAGTAATTAATTAATTTTAATTACATATATTAAATAAAACTTTACAAGCTAATAATAAAAATATCAGTAATAAAATTATTTTTAGTTTGAAATACTCATTTTATAATCTATGAGTTGAGAGTATCATCTATTTACATATTTTAAATAATTAGTGTTTTTATCATAAAATAATTCACAGATATTTTGTAGGTTTAGATGCACTACCATCTTTCCATGAATCCTTCTCTCATTCAGTTCTTTCCATTACCAGGCACACATACAAGCCAACATTTAAATCTGTCAATTTATAGATAAATAAGAATGATATGTTTCTACACTTAAAATTTGGGTTACTATAAAAATAGCAGATAACAAATAAGATTTGTTAAGATTATTCTGAATTTGTGCTTTCTATGGCTTTGTTATGAATTACTTTAACAGAGAACAATGAAGCAGTGCAAAATTCTAAACAAAATAATTTTGAATTGAACTTAAACAGCTATTATTTTTTGCCTTACAAATATACAGTGTTAGCACAAATCTGCATTGTGCAGAGATATACAAACATAAATGACAATTATTTATTGTTGATATTTGAAGGATGAAATTCCATGACATAAATGATCCTCTAAGGGAAGAAATCATTTGTATTACCATTAAGTTTATCAAACTTATTTTAGAAAAACTCCCTTTGTTTAATCCTTTGCATTGATAATATTGACTTCTATCATAAATAATGGGAAATTTTGAAGGACAAAGTAAATTGAAAACTATTAACTTAAAATTAACAAATGAAATGTAGATGAACAAAAAGAGACTAATACCACCAAACTTGTATTTTAGGCCAATATATCTTTGCATTGACAATGAGGTATGGTAGAAATGGGGATGTGGGTGAGCACAGCAGAACGAATTCTTGTAAGTTTGTTCATGGAATTGGACAATGTGGAAGGAAGATAGCTATAAAATTGCAAATAGTGTAGGGATTAAAGAAATTTGGGACAAAGGCTGAATAGGAGCCAGACCAGTACGAGTTCCTATAATACTGATTTCAGAAGGAGCCAGACGTGGCCTATCAGTTCTATATTCTCTCATTGAATGTGTGTGTTTGTGTGTGTGTGTGTGTGTATGTATGTGTGTGTGTGTGTGTGTGTGTGTGTGTGTGTGTGTTTAAAACAGAGTCTCACTCAGTGTACTGTAGCTGGCCTGGAACTCACTCTGTACCCCAGATAGGCCTTGATCTCACAAAGATCTCTCTGCTTTTGCCCCATGAGTGCTTGGAATAAAGGCTTGTGCTATCATACCCACAATCCTTAAAGATAACCTTTAAATGCTCAGGATATGAGTATTTAAAAAATGGATTACATTGCTGCCAAATAGATGATATAATAACAGAAACAAAACCTTTTTATACAAGCTAAATAAACCAAAGTGTAGACTGCGTCATAAATACAAGGGAAGAGCAAAGTCTTCTGAATTACAATAAGTTATCAGTGACTGCAAAGAAATAGGTTTGAGATTCCCAAGAGACAAACTGCTTAAACTTTTTCAGTTTTATTATGTGATTTTTATTTAGCCATTGCGATAGAACTATAAAATTCTTTAAAGTTGTAAATATCAAAGAATGTAAAATATCATTTAAATACAAATCAAATATTAAAAATATGGCAGATATTATGTAAATATATGTCTGTGTAAATCTGTATATTTTTGTATATCCCAGGTAGCCACATTTCTTATGTAATTACATGTATAAATATATATCATTATAAACATTAAAAAGGTAGTACAGAGCTAGAAAGACTGGCTTCTTTCAGAGATCCTATTTTTGCTTCCCAGCACCCACACGGCAGCTAACAACCATCTGTAACTCCAATTCCAGGGGATCTGATGCCCATTTCTGACCTTCGCATGAATTGCACATGAGTGGTTCATTTACATATATTCAGGCAAAGCACATGTAAACACAAAATAAGCATAAATTAATAAAATATATATAATGCAGACTTACATTTAAAACAAGGCAGCAGAAGTTAACCATGTCTTTAAATTAATGTACACAAAGAGCTGAAATATATGAATAAATGGAATGGAATAGTTTCACAATAACTCTTCATATTTATTTATAGAATATCACTTTGAAAGAGTTCCATATAATGTGGGGCTGGAGAGATGACTCAGTGGTTGAGAACACTGACTGTCCTTGCAGAAGGCCTGGGTTTGAATCCCAGCACCCACATGGCAGCTAACAACTGTCTGTAATTACAGTTCCAGGGGATCTGACATCCTCTTCTGTCTTCCACGGGCATTGCATGACACAGGTGCAATTACCTACATGCAGGCAATACATGCATATACATAAAATAAAAACAAATAAAATAATAAAAGCAGAAATAGCTTCATATAATGTGTGAAAGATTTTATTCATGAATCAGTGCTTTTCCAAACACTTTTTTCATTGCTTGTTTCACATCATTGTTCCTCAAACTGTAGATGAGAGGATTCAACAAGGGAATCACAATGCTATAAAATATCGACACTATCATGTTATGTTCCAAGGCATATGTTGAACTTGGCCTCACATACGTGAAAAGAACTGTGCCATGAAAAATGGACACACCAGTTAGGTGAGAGCCACAGGTGGAGAAGACTTTCTGTTTGCCTTCAGCAGAGCGTATCCTCAGAATAGCACATAAAATGAAACCATAGGAAATTATGACTGTCAGGATGGTGACTATCTCAATAGACCCAGCACAAAAGAAGAGGAGAAGCTGGTTTATGTGGGTGTCAGAACAAGAAATTGCCAAGAGAGGAGGAATGTCACAGAATATATGACTGATTTCATTGGATCCACAGAAGGACAGACTGAAAGTGGCCACTGTGTGGATAATCGCATGGAGAACTCCTCCAGCATAGGAAGCGATGATGAGTGGCACGTAGACTCTGGGCGACATACTCACTGCATACAGAAGTGGGCTGTGAATGGCTACATAGCGGTCATAAGCCATTGCTGCCAACAGAAAGCATTCGGTGGTTCCAAAAGTAACAGCAAGAAACATCTGTGCTGCACATGCCAGGAATGAAATGGCTTTTTCCTTTGACATAAAATCTACTAACATTTGGGGAGTGATAACAGAGGAATAAAAAGCATCTACTGAAGACAGCACACTAAGAAAATAGTACATGGGGTTGTGCAGCCTGGAATCCCCAGTGACCAATACAATCAGTCCTAAATTTCCCAAGATAGTGAAAAGATAAATCACTAGAAACAGGAAGAAGAATAAGATCTTCAGATCAGGGTTGTCTGTGAAGCCTTTCAGTACAAAATCAGTCACTTCTGTGATGTTCTCCATGTTGAAAACTCAGAGAAGGAAGTTGAAAATAATTATCAAATAAGGATAATTTATGTTCTTTTGAAAAAAATCTACAGCAGTTTAGATCTAAAGGTGATAGGCTATGTCTGTATGTTTGTGTTTACATACATACATACGTACATACATACATACATACGTACATACACACATACAAACACACAGGCAGTGTGAGAGTGAGGGTGCATGGATGTGCACACATAGGAATACATATTATATGATTTTTTCAAGAAGTAGTGCAGAAGACAGTAACATGATGGATCTTTCAATCTTAATATGCCACTCATTACAGAATTAATTTGAATATATGGCTATTTACCCAGTGTCTGAAGTTGTGGCATTTCTTTTTTTAAAAGTGTATGAGTATTTTTCCTGCATGTATGTAAATTCACCCATGTTGTGGAATGTCCATAAAGGCCAAAGTAGGTGGCAAATCATCTGGAACTGGATTTATAGATGGTTGTTAGAGCCATTTGAGTGAAATGGACTCAACCTAGGTCCTCTGCAAGAGCAGTCAATGCTCTTAACCACTGCATTATCACTCCAGCTCTCTGAAATCATGGTATTTCTTAAACAATAATGTCAACTATACAATATACAATTCAATTATATTTTACCTTTCTAGTTTAATCACACTAGACCACAAAAAGGTTCAGGTACAACAATCTGCTATGACAAAGAATCCCTTGATGTGCTAAATATGGAGAATGTATTGAACTAGAATCAGAATTCTAAATTGGTCAGGGATTCTATAGAATGATTTGGCAAAACCTACACACTAGTTACCAATGAAAATTAATACTAACTAATAAAATTAGAGAATGAATTGAGACAATGTTAACATTGAAACTTTTAAAAATAAAGTATAGAACATACTGTATTAGGTGGGTTCTTTGGTGCATCATGCACGGGGTAATTTAAAAGATACCATAAGTTTTTCATTTGTGAGCAATTTATAACAATGAATTACTCTTTTTTATAGGGATGTAAGACAGGATCTCTGCTTATAGCCCAGTTGGCCTTGACTTCATGATAATAATTCTCAGACTCCCAAAAGCTGAGATTACTGTGTATGCCACCACACCCAATTCTCCATGAATTATTTTTCAGATAATATACACTTAGATAGTATAATCTTTAAAAATACATAGTTTCCAGTTAACAGAATATTGGATATATTATAATGGATGAGCTCACATTTGGGGTAAATGATGAATAGGAGCAAAGATTCTCAGGATTTAGATTTTCCTAATACAATGAAGAAGTAAAAGTCATACTAGAATGAGGAAATCAACATTAGTATACACTCATATCACTCAGGTTTGCATGACAAAGTAAGTATTATTCTTAATGATTGGGCATTGAACAATATCTGCTCAGCTCCTAAATAAAGTAGATCTACTTCTATATAGGTAGTTTTAGTAAAAGTACAAAATTCCAAATATATTAAGCACAGTAATAAAATAATAAATTTTCCAGGAGATAGAAATGGTATCACAAACAAAAATTTTTGTGAACATTACATTGCTTACCTTACTGCAAATTTCTAGGTTAGTAATTGCTAGAACCATTATTAAATCCAAGGTCTCCATCACACTGCCTTCACTTTATAGGTTATTATGAGACGCTATTTTTATACATGCCTTTATTGTGCAAATGGACTCCTCATTCATTTCTCCCATGAAACTGAAGCAAATCCCTAGTCTTAATGTACTTGAATATTTTTAAATAATTAAAATTGAACATTTTTAATGAAATAGTCATCTCAATGAAATCTAGATTGTACAGCTATGATATAAAATAAGAATTTTATTTTTTTCCTATCTTACTGAAATTTCTCCAGATAATTTAATATGCCAATTATTTTTTTCTCTAGTCATACAGTAATGACACATATTTCCTTTGAGGCAACATCATCATCAGAAAATGAAAACACATACCCTGTAAAGGAACACCGTTTTGTATGAAAGCCTTTGTTTGAATATTTTTTTGCTTTCTGCTTTTCCAAGAAGCTTTCTTTTTAAGACCTAAGGAAACCTGTCGATAGGTTATTTATTGAAGGAAATAAGAGAAGGTTAAAAATTACAGTGTCTCATATGCTTTGCTTAGTAGTGAGGTTGTTTATGACAAAATAACATATTGGTCCTTGAAGCACTATGTTCTATCCCCCAACAGTCCCTCAGATTGTCTGAAATATACTCTTACCCAAAGAACATCAAATGGAGGCTTGTGTTTCCTGTGAATACAGCTAATTTAAATTGTTTACACCCACTTGTGCAACTCTGATGATGCTCAGAGGAGACACCCCAAGGGGCATATTCCCCAATTATACAGTGGTTCAAAATAATAACAAAATGAATTATTTCATTAAAAATTGCAATAAATAGTAAATGATTCTGTGATAAGCACAACCCACTGAGGTTTCTTCCACTAATGGATATATAATATACAAAATAACAGATTGCATTATGAAAATTTCATACATGAACATCATGTACATTGATTATGTTCAACTCCCATTAACTTCTCTCCTGATAATCACATTCCTGTTCTCTAATATTCCCTTTTCTGTTGACGTTATATGTACATGTGTATATACTTTATATATGTAATATATAAACATATGCATGTTATATACATACAGAAGCACAAACATATTCCATATGAGAGAAAACATTCTCTCTCTCTCTCTCTCTCTCTCTCTCTCTCTCTCTCTCTCTCTCTCTCTCTCTCATTTTGTTTAACATGAAGTTCTCCAGTTCTCTGATTAAGGGTGAGAGTGGCAATTGTCTGTGGGTATAAATATAGATTTAGAAGGCAATTTGACATTATGTCAGTTTAGCTACCCAGTAGAGTTCAGTACCAGATATTTAATGTCTCCAGTCATGGGATTTGAACAAGTCTGCCATTCCAGATATGAATTCCCTGCTGTGGACTGTGTCTGAAATCAGTAACAGAATATTTTGTTACGGTATTCTCACTGTTGTACAACTGGGTACATGTTTCCTGGCATGTCAGTATCATAGGTCATAGAGTGAGAGCTGGGTAAGGTCTCTGATGCTTTTTCTTCCCAGGCAGCCTGAACACCACCCTCTGGCACTATGAAAAATAGCCATCAAGGAGAGCGTTCAGCTGTTTCACTTTGATTTGTCTATTTCACACTATCAAAATAAATGGTGTCTTACACAACCAGCTCTTATCTTCGATTTCCACTGGGCAAATTACAGGAGTGGCTAGAGCCTTATTGTTTTGGTGTCTTAAGGGCTCTGTGACCAAAAAAAAATTCATAAGGAAATAATCCACACATTAACTAGGGTATTTGTTCAATGATTCATGCCTTGCAGCAAGAGGTTGTTTTTTTGATTTTTTTTTTTTTTTCAGCTAAGGAAAGCATCTCCCATCCGACTCTTTTTAATATAAATTATACTATTTTGGCGTGGTTACTAGACAGTAGATTTCCATATGATTTTTTATATTAAAAATGAACCATAATGACTTATTTCTTGCAGTTCGAATTCCTATTTTTTAATCTCTTAGGCCATTTGTAATTCCATAGTATGGATTTAAAAGTATGTGGTGCCAGTTGTACAGAGTATTGTAATTATTTCTTTTTCCATTCTTTCAATTACTAAAATTCAGGCAATTCAGATCAGAGGTAGCATTTCCATTAAAGAAGACTTATGCAAAACAAAATTAAACAACATCAGAAACAAACAACAACAACAACAACAACAGCACAACCCCACTGTGCACTGAATGGGAGAGATAGGACACCCAGCTTTGCTCAGCCAGAACTTTGGTTACAGAGTTTTCATGACTTTATAATGCACCTTTCATTTGGGTTAACCCTCTGTGCTGGTTGTTTTTAACTCAACACAATTTCCATACACCTGGGAAAAGGAGTATCAGTAATGAATAATCTAGCTCAGATTAGCCTGTGGGCATGTCTGTGGGTGGTTGTCAAGATTGTTAATTGATCCACCCCACTGTGCGCAGCACCAGTCCCTAGAAAGCATCTTTGAAGTGACCGAGAATGAAAGAAGCTTCCTGGGCAGCAGCAAGTGGCAAGAATGTGTTTATTCTTGTTCTCAGCTGTAGATGCTATGTGACTAGCTGCTTTGAGTTCCTGCCTTGAATTCCCTCCAATGAAGGGTGTTACCTGGAATTATAAATTTAAAAGCCCCTTTCCTCTACTAAATTCATTTGGTGAGGGTGTTTTATCACAGCAGGAAGTGAAGAAAAAATACACTCATATGGATGCAGAAAAAAGAGGAGTCATTACATTAAGTGTGTACCCCTGGTGATCCCTTTATGCTGCAATGCACAGTTCTAGTCCACAAGTGGCCCTGATTAAACTAAATAGGTCATACAACAAAACTTCAGGTCATCAGAATGGGAAAGAGACAAGTAGAATGGAAAGGCTGATAGCGGTAGGAGGGAAATAAAAGAAAGTGGGGGAATAGTAAGCAGATTACATTATACATTAATGAAAAATTGTCAACTAACAATACAAAATGTGGTAAGAAGAAAAATGAGGAGGCAAGCAAGTGAACCTTCTAATATCAGCAATTTATTACAAATTCCTGTGCATTTAATTCATTCAAAATGAACACTTACAGAAAAAAGTTGAAAAGTCCCTGCATGGACTATAAAGAAAAATTAACTGTTTATAAGAAAATCAAATTACCTCTAAGAAAATTCAAAGATAATATTAAAATGATGAAATATTATATGTAACTGGAATATACAAGAAAGCATGGGATTCTCTGCTTAGATCAAAGACACATTATTTTATATTTTCTTATCTTTGTATTAATTAGATGTGTTCTCAAAGAATACACATGTACAGAAAGCATACAGACCACTCTCTTCCTTAATCTCTTCCATCTCCCACCATATCTACATGCACCCTCCTTCACACAAATCTCTCTTTCAAGTTAACAGTTTTTCATTTTGTTTTGTGACCAACTGAGTTTAATCGCAGTCCTCTATGTGACTACAGGATAAGCTATCTGTTATCTATTAGTGGTTATACAATTAAAGACAGTGATTCCCTCTCTGCCAAAACCTATAAATAACCAATAGTTCAGTAGTAAAGAGAAGGGCACCATGAGCCTCTCCTTCCTTGACTAATTGTTGATATGACCACTTTTCTGTGGGTCCAGTCCACAATGACAGATGTGTGTTAGTTATTTAAGTAGTTGTATGGAGTGTAGAGGATGGCATTTCCCAGCTCTTCACTTTAACTTCCAGGTGTTAGATCTTTCTGCCTCCCTAATTCTCCCACATGCCACTTTTGCATTGTTCCCTAAGCTTTATAAGGGGTAGTATAAATGTACTGTTTAAGGCTCTGTCCATAACAATTTCTTATTCTCAGAAACTTGTATAGCAATGAATCTTTTCATTCATCACTATTTTTGTAAGAAGAGCCTTCTCTGATTAAATCTCAGAGCAGCTTTTGTCTGAGTATAAAGGTCGATATTTAGAAAACAGTTTGATGCTGTGTCTATTAAACAACAGTAATAAATTCTCTTCTTCTGCTGACCTGGGTCGTTATCTGGGATTACAGTACCCAACATGAACCCTCTCCACCCTACTTCCTCAGTGTGATGGGCCTCAAATACAATCAGTGGGGAGAGGATTGCTTCCACCATGTTCAGGCCACAGGGGGCCAGTCATGCCTCGCAGGTTGGCCTTCTTGTTCCTAGGGCTCATTGCTGAGCAAGACTGATGACTGTTTGTCAACTTGCTGATTACCCCCTGGTAGTTTGAATGCTCAGATCCAGCCATAGTTTGAGCATAAAGTAACTGGTCACATTGCACCGAAAGTCAAGATGCAGTTCCGATGCTCATTTGTCTCCTTCTTTTCCCTGCTTGTCATTGGTCAGGACACTCACCTATCGGATGGTGTGTACATTCAGTGTCAGCCTTTCCTTCTCAGTTAAACCTGTCTAGAATCACGCTCACAGACACACTTCTGGATGAATCTACATCCTATGCAATTCTAAATCCAATGACGTAGACAATGAAGATTAACTATCACAATATACCACTTGTCAGTGTAACACTGAAACATAACACCTTACACCATTACACCACCTTACACCTCACACCTTTCACTTTACACCACACTTGCCTCCAAAGTCTCATATTTATTTCATAATGAAAATTGCATTTAGTTAATCTCTAAAAGAACCCAACTTCTTAGCAGTTGAAACACTGTTCAAAAATCCAAAGTCTCTTCTGAGACTCAAAACAGTCTTTAAACCAGAGCCACAATCAAAGGGAAAAAGAAAGTTGTATACTTCCACTGTAAGTAGCCTGAGGTGACCTGTGAAAATGGTTTGCTACTATCTTGATCAAGACAGCCCTAAAAAGTCATGTAAATCAAGAGGTTCGGAACATACAGAGCTCATGGTCAGATTAACTTATACATGAGCTCTCCCTGACATATCAAAATAATCCTCACTAAAAAGGAAAAAAAAAAACAAATCCTAAGCCTGAAGAGGAGGTTGTACAAAAGAAAAAAAATATCCCAGAAGAAACTGAAGAAAGAAAAGTTCATGGACTGAATAAATTGAGCATAAAATAAACATAGACTTACATACAAGTACTGGATGGGCTGCCTAGACTCCAGTGGACACATTTACACTGAAGGACATTCATGTACAAACACTTGAATAATAAGGCTCAGTGTGTATGGCAGAGAGCATAGGAAATTTCACTAGGGGGTTGGGGGAGGCATCAATAAGGGAGGGGGTCTGTATGTGAGTTGAAAATGTTGCATGAAATTTAAAAAGCTCAATAAAAATAAAACATAAATGCAGATAAAAGTAAAAAGAAACTTATATACTTCAAATATTTGGGAGCACTGTAAAAACATTCCCATTTCAAAAGTGAGAAATGAGAACAGAGCAAGAAGTGTTTGGGATTTAAAAAGCCAGAACCCCAAAAGAAAACTTTCCAACCCTACACTTCAGACCCATGTCTGGCAATTCTTTGGTGACATCTTCTGAGCTCCAACAGGCCTGGGTAAGTTCTCTGTTACATTAATTCTATCTGTAATTCCTGTGTCTTGGAAGGATTCCATTCCATACTGCATCTCTACTTTGTAAATATTCTGTAGTTCTGCATCTCCACCACCGTCAGGTATCCTTTGGAACAGGGCTCATCTTCATAGTTGCACACAGTGGCCTTTCAGGGACTTTTGGTAGTGAATTCAATTCTGATGTACATTTACTGAGTTCAGTGGCTTTCTAGAACCTTGGTGCAAGCCTACTTGACCATGAAAATTATATTATATTTTATTTATTTTTATTTTATGTGAATTTTACCTGTACGTATAGAAGTACACATTTGCATGCCTTGTGGGTTTAGAGGCCAGAGAGGGTGACAGAACCCTGAATCTGAATTAAAGAATGGATGATAGTTGCCATTTGGGTGCTAGGAACACAACCTGGGGCCTCTGGAAGAGCAGCAAGTGTTCTAAACCACTGAACTATCTCTCTAGCCCCCATCTGTTCTGTACTGAATGACTGCAAGACCAGTACCATGTGAATATTACTGTCAAATAACTGCCAGCTTGAGGTATAGTCAGGGTTCCTTCTACTGCAGGTCTAATGGCCTCTGTGTACCTTGACAGCTGAACCAGGCAGAGCCCTTCCCTTGACTGCTGTTGTCAAGCAGATAGTATCATATAGAATGTCCTCCATGGGAAGAGAAGTTTTGTACCAGTGTGAATCCTTTAAGCCAGTTCTGGAGAAATAAGTTTTGTTGAATCTATGTATTAGTGATGCTGCTTCTGTAATTAATAAATGATGAGACTCCTTGAGTGAAAGATTAATTTCACAAAGTAACAAAATTATCAAATCTTAAAATTAATAAGTGATGTTGAAAAATATGAAACACTATTTAAACTGACACCTGGGTATCCCAATCTTACAGCAATGAGTTATATTGGAAGCAGTGTTGAATATAGGTATAGCAGCAAAAAAAAAAAATGTGCTTTTGTTCCTGGAACTGGATGATGGGGAAGAAGAGCAACTTCACAAGTGGAAAACAGTGTAGGGGTCAAAAGAAAATTTGATAAATCAGGATAGGGGTCATGCCCATAGGAATTTCAATAAGGATGGATGGGGCTTAGTTCTGGAAAGAATGAATCCTGAGTATCTATTGTACTTTATTTTTGAATTTATTCTTCTTTTGGTATGCTTGAACTTAAATATGATGTTAAAAGTGTAAATGTTTATTTGTTGCTTGCTGAGGACAACTAAAAACATGAGGTCTATTTCTACTCTATAGATGATATGATATGGAAAAGTTTGCCCCCTTATGTAAAGCCCAGGGAAGACACTGAGGAGTTTACCCAAACTCTGAACTAGACTGTGAATAGGTTGCTTCACAGAACTAAGAAAAGAGTCAATTGCTTTAAACTTAAATAAGGCACTAGTAACTGGAAACCAGGTGGTGTGAAAATCTTGGGAGAAGTGATTTATTATTTGATATCTTTGGATTGCAAGGTGGCTTATTAAGCCATTGTGATAAAAGTATAAAACTGTTAATAAGTGAAAATATGAAATCATATAAACTATTATTTAAATGTCAGTAAAAAATACAAAGATAATAAAGATTATATAAGTATATATCTATGTATGTAAAGTTTTGTCTGTTTCATGTAGAAATGATATATATGGAAAAATACATATGAAAATTGTAATAAGCAAACACATGAAATATTTCTTTTTGCATTCAAAACAGGGTAAAAGAAGTTAATGTGTGGTCTTTAATTTTATGTTTGCAAATAATAGAATTATGATAAATTAAAATGAATTTTTTTCATCATTCTTCTTCATACTTACATAAAATGTCACCTTTGTGGGCTGAAGACACAGTTCAGTGCTTAAGAAAAGATCCTGCTCTTCCAGAGGACCTATGTTCAGTTCTCACCCATATCTGGCAGTTCATAACCAACTGTAACACCAGCTGGAGGAGACTCAACTGTGTTTTCTACCCTCTGTGGGTACTGCACTTATACACACACACACACACACACACACACACATACACACACACACACGTAATTAACAATAAAATAAAATTATTAAAAGATGTTCAAATAAAATATATCACTTTAATTTTTCTGTTTCACATATAGGTGAAAAGTATACTTTAGCCTTAAACTGTTCTTTTCCCAAACACCTTTTGCATTGCCCTGTTAACATCTTTGTTCCTCAGGCTGTAGATGACAGGATTCAGCATGGGAATCACTATGCTGTAAAACATGGATACTATCATGTCCTGCTCCAAAGTATAGTTGGAACTTGGTCTCACATACATGAAAATAGCAGTACCATGAGAAATGGACACTGCAGTCAGGTGAGAGCCACAGGTAGAGAAGACTCTTCGCAGCCCTTCAGCAGATCGCTTCCTTATAATAGCAACCAGAATGAAACCATAAGAGATCAGGACAACGAGGACAGTGAATAGCTCAATAGACCCAGCACAGAAAAAGAGCAGAAGTTGGTTTATATGTGTATCAGAACAAGAAATTTGAAGAAGAGCAGGGATATCACAGAAAATGTGTTTAATTTCACTGGATCCACAAAAGGACAGGCTGAAAGTGGCCACTGTGTGAATAACAGCATGCAGAATTCCACCTGCATAGGACGTGATGATAAGTGGCAGACAGACTCTGGGTGACATGATTACGGAGTACTGAAGGGGGCTCTGAATGGCTACATAGCGGTCATAAGCCATTGCTGAAAGCAGAAAACATTCTGTGGTTCCAAAAGTAACAGCAAGAAACAACTGTGCTGCACATCCAAGGAATGAAATGACTTTCTTCTTTGACATAAAATCTACTAACATTTGGGGAGTGATAACAGAGGAATAACAGGCATCAACTGAAGACAGTGCAGTAAGAAAATAGTACATGGGGTTGTGCAGCCTGGAATCCCCAATGACCAATACAATCAGTCCTAAGTTTCCCAGGACAGTGAAAAGATAAATCACTAGAAACAGGAAGAAGAATAAGATCTTCAGGTCAGGGTTGTCTGTGAAGCCTTTCAGTACAAATTCAGTCACTTCTGTGATGTTCTCCATGTTGAAATCTCAGAGGAGGAAGTTGAAGAAAATCATGAAATGATACTTCAATTTTTTCTGAAGAAATCTATACCACTTTGGATCTTAAAGAGCCAATACATGTGATCATGAACACACACACACACACACACACACACACACACACGCACACATGCACAAATAGAGACATGAGTATACTCACAGATATATGCATATTATGTGATTTTTTTCAAACAGTGAATATGATGGTGTCCCAAGTGTCCATGTGCCAGTCATTGTACAATTAGTTTGAAGGATATGTTTATTCACTCAGTATATGAGCTCATGGGGTTTCTTCAACCATTGTTTCTACTGCCCAATCTACAACTGAATGACTTCATAAAATTGACACACCTACAGCATATGAGTTTCAGTATTAATTGTTTAGGTCGTAGTATACAAGGAGAGAGAAATTATGTTAAGATTGAATCTTTAACTAATTATAAATTGAATGAATTAGGTTCACTGTCCATGTAGAGTCATCATCAATCCCACTCTGCAATCAATGATCTAATTCCCCACACTTGACTCTCTTTGAATTCTTCTCTAAGGAATATATAGCTCTGTGGATTTTATGATATTTAAAAATGTGTATCTTCCAGTTATGAATGATATTTTCTATATTACTATGGACTTATGTCTTAAGTAAACAAGGGATTTCAGCTTAGTGTTCTGTGAAACAGGCAGTTCAACCAGGAGAAACCTGGTATAGAGAAGGCTATACTGCCACACACTGACAACATTCAGAGTTATATAGAAATAATATATTTCCTCATCTCCTAAAATTAATATAAATATACTTCGGCAATCCAATTTTAAAAGAAAGTACAGAGTTTTAAATATCCTAAATTTCATAATCAAATACTAAAGTTGTCAGAGAACAGATATTAGATAACACAGATTATTGAACAGCAGCTGCAGGAACAAATTTTATACATATTACATGACTTACCTTATAGCAAATGTTATAGTTAATATTTTCCAAAGCCATGAATTAGTCCATACTCTCCATCATAAAGCATACACTTTTCACATTTATTAAGAAACACCACCTCCTATGACAGACTGCTTCATTGTGCAAATGAGCTCCCCCATCCCCTGCCCAGAAGGGTTCATGCAAAACCCAAGGCTTGATGTACCTGGAGAATCTTAAGTAATTAAAGTGGGAGAAATTTAATGAACTAAGTAGTAATCTCACCTGAATGTTGGATATTATAGTTAGGATGTAAAATTTAAAGTAGTCTTTTTTCCTTATATTAGAATATATGATCCCTGATTCTTGAACATATGAATTGTTTCCTTATATTCTCTACATAGACTATGTTATTCCTTCCCCTAGGGTAATTCATCAGGTAAATGAAATTGTACACCTTAATAAGAAACACTCCTTGCTATACAAAGTTCAACATTTTCTAGATTTTTTTCTTCTTTTCCAAGAATCTTTATTTTTTTTATTCCTTGGCAGGCCTGTCAACAGATCATATTTCAACAAATATAAGCATTGAGCAAAAGAAACAATGTCTAGTATTTGAGTATTTAATATGCAAAATTACAAAAGTATCCTTAAAATGTTAGGTTCTAGTTTTCAGCCATTCCTAAAATTGTCTGAAATTTACTCTTACCCAAGAAACAGCAAATTAATGTATGGATTCATTGTGCATACTGCTAATTTAAATTGTTTATATCCACTTATTCAACTATGAAGTATCCCATGGGTGATACCCCAAGGGGATTATGCCCCAATTATCTGCTAGTTCAAAGTAGCATCACACTAATTTACTGAATAATGAAATAATAAATGCTTTTTCAATAGTGCTACCCTTTCCCATATTTATTCATCTACTTTGATCATATCCACTTCCCTACACTGTCTCTTGTCCCAACTGCTCATGCTGGCCTATCTCCTTCACTAAAATAGTCCCCTTTTCTATTATCATGTTAGAAAAAATATGATTCTTCTGTGGAGTATTTTATTTAATCCCCAAATTCTTCCATCTCCTACAAATGAAATTACTTCATTATTCATGGCTAAATAATACTCCCTTATACATGTCCACAGCATCTTTTTTTTATCTAGTCACTTACTGATGAGCATCTACTCTGTTTCCCTTGGGGGGATGTTGTAAATAGTGAACAATGAACATTAGTGTGCAGGTATTTTTCTGGTAAGATGGTTTAGATTTCTTCAGGAACATATCCAGGAAAGGTTCAGGTGGAACTCTTGTTCTCTGTTTAATTTTTTGATGCATCAGCATAGTGTGCTTTAGAGTGCTTGTACTAATTCAGTTCCCACAAACACGGAGGGGGGCACCTGTCCATACCCCTCCATCATCATCCTCACCAGCATGATTGATATTTATTTACTTGCTGTCTTATGACCATGGTGAGACTCAATCTTTTTTAATATTTATTTTATTATTTTTATTTTGTGTATGTGAGTACATTGACTGCATGCATATGAGTGCATCTGTGTCATGCAATGTTGCAGAAATCAGAAGAGGGCATCAGACTTCCTTGGAAATGGAATTAAAGATGGTTTGTAGCCACCATTTGGGTCCTGGGAATGAAACCTGGGTCTCCTGCAAGAACAGTCAGTGCTCTTAACCACTGAGCCATCTCCCCAGCCCCTGAGATTGAATCTTAATGAACTCATAGTTTGAATTTCTCCTGAATGCTAAGAAGGTTGAAAGTTTTATTTTCATATAGTTATTGGCCGTTCATGTCCCTTCTTTTGAGAACTATCTGTTGGAGTCATTTGATTATTTGCTGATTGGAGTATTTTTTCAGATTTTGTTTTATTTTGCCATTTTGATTTTTGTCTTGTTTTGTTTTGGTTTTTGACTGTCGGTTTATTTGTTGAAACAGGGGCTCCCTGTACACGAGCTGGATTGGGAAATCACTGTGTAAACCATCCTCTCATAGGGATATGCATGCTTCTGCTTCTCAAGTCCTGGGACTAAAGGTTTCAGCCTCTGCTTATATCTGCTGCTTTTTATTGGGGAGATATTTGTCACTGAGATCTGTTAGAAATCTTTATATTTTCTTTTCCACAATGACACAGCTTCTCACCCAGCTGCTACCCACATTCTCTACTGAGGAAAATTATTTTCAAGTCATTTTCCTAGCTGTACTTTGGATGACTATTTTTCTTTCTTTCTTTCTCTTTCTTTCTTTCTTTCTTTCTTTCTTTCTTTCTTTCTTTCTTTCTTTCTTTCTTTCTTTCTTTTTTTGGTAAATAACAATACAAAACAATTCAAAGCCCAAACCTATGACTCTTAATAACTGGATGACATAGCATGTGAAACAATGCTGAACTACGAAATCCCATCAAGAAGGTCTGATATCTTCTTCATTTGAAATAAAAATGTATTAACATGACAGTAGAGACTGTGTTGAAATGTCTGAGTTTTCTATATCTATGATCCCATTAAGAATCAAATAAGAAAATTAAATTAGAAAAAAAATGCATGAGAATTGGGACACATGATTCAATGCCTGGAGTCCAGGAAATTCCCAGGGTTGTACATTGCCCTAGGGCTAAGTAGTACCAGTGAATTTCTAGGTGTTGCCATTTTGGCTTATGCCATGTGGTTAGACAAATCAACATGTCATTAATGTTACATGGGTCATCTGCATTTTGAAGATGTTAATAAGCAAAATAATGGTGGCCAAGTAAGGTGGCTGTCCCCAAGTTGATGATGCCATCAATGAAGATGGCAACCAGACCATGTGATTACCTCCATCTTGGTGAGATCACCAGTAAAAATGGTCACCAAACCAAGGGATTACTTTTTTTTTTTTCTTACAGGAGATAGGACATATTTGTCTCACAGTTCCAGGTTACTCTTCAGCACTGAAAGGAAGTCAAGATGGGGCAGAAACTTGCAACTAATCATGTTATATATATTCAAAGGACAGAGAGCAAAAGATTGATGTGTGGATGCCAGCATTTAGCTGGTGCTCTCCTTTTTTATTTATTATTTCAATTTTTGTGCATTTCATATGATATCATAATCACATCCAGAACCTCTCCAACATCTAAAACCCCTCTGTACCCCACCATAGGGTTTCATTCATTCTGTCACCTATGTTAAGTCCTATGGAGTCATTTGTTCACCCAGATGTGCCTCAATGTGAGTTGATCCATTTGGAATCTATTAAGCCTATCTATAGCCACTCTTCAGGGAAGATCAACTCTCCCTCACACAGCAGTGATCATCTGCCAATATTTTCTCTCCTACTGTTGGGGAATCCTGCCCATTTCCCCAGTTTTAGGCTGGGTTTTTGCTAGATTAGTTTACATGGGTCTTTGCATGCTGTCACCATTGCTATAAGTTCATATGAGCAAATTTCCAGAGTCCTAGAAGATTCTGCTTCCTTTTGATAATGTACCTACACTGGCTCTTACAACCTTTCTGTACCCTGTTCTTCAATGGTCCCCGAGGTATGGGTGAGTGAGATTTAATATAGACGTTTGCTATCCAAGGACAAACACTCTGCAGTCTCTTATCTCTAAACTTTGGCTAGTTGTGGCAATTAGAGACACTTATTCTCTGTGTTTAACAAGTTACAAAACTGTAATAGTGTCCATCTGTTGCAAAAACCTTTCTTGATGAGTGGTAAATAGTATACTTGCCTGTAAATATAAGGATACATATTTAGAATACAATAAGAAATTACATTTGAGGGATATGATAGAGGGTAGAGTTTTCTATAGGATATATGAACTCTCCAGGCATATGAATTTGGCTATATTTACAGTACCACACAGTTCCCAATCCAATTAGATAGCTGTTGATTACCTCCAAGATAAAATGCCACTACTGCACCATTAGAGTTTTGCTGTACAGGTCATTGCTGTGGTTATTAGGTTTTAAAGCTGGAGTTGGATCATCAATTTATTTTTCTCCCTTAACAGCTTGCATAATATCCTCTAGATTAATGAAACCTGGCTTTCAGGGGGGTGCCTTCCTGGTCAAGTCCACCTCTAATCCTCTAAGCCCTGTGTCCTGTGTCTT